GATGGTAGAACATCTTTCTACGGCTGATGGTAGAACATCTTTCTACGGCTGATGGTGGAACATCTTTCTACATCTGATGGTGGAACATCAAGTTGTTGTGCAAAATATGTTAGCAGGAGAGACGACCACGTAGAGACAATATTAATGTTCCTTTTAGCTCCATTTTTGGTCTCCACCAACCTCAAGTTTTTGGGTTTTTTTGGGGGCTGATGGCAAACAACTTGTTTTGCTTCTAGCTTTATTTACTCTGTTTACGACAGCCATGCATAACGTAGCATATAGCGCTATCCTCTGATGACATCACATGGCCTAAATTAGTCGCTCCAAAACTTAACTTGCATTTGTCATGCACTGTTTGTTAGCAAACAGTTGATACATCCAGCAGATGTGGAGAGATGGCAATGTAGAGACAATATGCATGTTCCTTTTAGCTCCGTGTTTGGTCTCTACCAACTTTTCCGAGTTTGTTTGGGGGTTCTTCCGTAGTTTGCAAACTTTTTCGTTTGTTTCCAACTTCTTCTGTTTATTGTGTAAAATACCTTATAACACTTATTTTTGGGGATACTTTCCTTGCATTAAAATGAAAACACAACTATTAGCCACCTATTGCCTATTAGCTAGCTAAACCTAAAGGCTAAATATCGACACTGGGCATCTTCTAAAGCTGAGTGATGTTCTTGTTCGCCCAGTGCACTGACATGCTAACCAAACTGGGACGTTTCTGAGCAGTCAAGTGCAATCCCTCACTTTACTCTCAGACCTCCAGCTCCGATGCGCTACACCTCGACGTCCTGCTGCTGCTCTTTAGACCTAATTCCTGCAGCTCGGAGGCCTCCGGCTGGTGTGTGTTGCGTTGTGCGTCGCGGTTTCGCGTTTTTCTCCGTCTGCCAGGTTTTTACTGCAGCTTCGGGTGTGGAGTCGTGTACAGTTCACAAACACTGTTAATGTGTGTGTGCGTGTGTGTGTGTGTGTGTGCGTGTGTGTGCGTGTGTGTGTTTATGCTAACCCCAGCGGTCGGGTCTATAACGGGATCGGAATGCGTCTCCGGCCCTTTTGTTAATGACAGACCTACCAAAAGCCATAGCACCTCGCTCGCTTTTCCCTCCTCTCATCCCTCCATCCATCTCTTCTTCTTCTTCTTCTCCTTCTGCTTCTTCTGTGCGCCCCAGGAGAAACCCGTCCATAATGACAGGGCAGGAAAAACCAGGATGTTTCTCTTTCTCCCCCTTCTACCCCCATTTCACCCCACTTTCAGACTCCCTCTTTTGTCTGCTGATGCTTCGGGTTTCTCTTTTATCTCCTCTCTCGCCTCTTGCTTTCCTCTTGGTATGGACGCCAAATATGCTTTGAAGACAGAAATATTTTTATAGGATTTCCCCCCCTCTCTCCTCCTTCCCAGCTCGCCTCATTCACCCGCCCTGCATTTAGCACAATCAGATTTAAATTGCTTTACTGCTCTTGTGTTCCAGCTCTGTTAAACCGCTCATGACAGCAGTGGCTGCCAACATGTCAACAATAGTCTCCCTCTCTCGCTGCCTCTCCCTCGTTTTTAGGTCCTCCAAACCACACCATTGTAGTTTTTCCATGACTTATTCCCTCTTATGACTTGTTTTCTTTTTGTTCCCAGTCTGCCCTGATTTAATGTTTCTTTCTTTTAAATGTGTGTGTGTGTGTGTGTGTGCGTGTGTGTGTGTGTGTGTGTTTATACGTGGGTCACTCGGCCACATTTGCCTACGTGGTTGAAAACTCTTTGATAATGACCAAGAAACCGCCTTCGCTTCTGGAGAGCTTAAAAATATAAACTCAAGAAATCAAGGTGCAGAAATGGCCTTAAAAGGACACGACTGCCTGCACCTTCTACTTTGGTTCATGTCTATACCTCAAAAAGGACATTTCTATATGTGTAAATTGGCAAAATCGTACCTTTATGTCCTAGTTTAGGCATTGGTAAGGTACAGGATTGGTACATAATAAGGTGCAGTAGTAGCGACAAGCAATTTTAAACATTTTTGATGCAAAAAATACCCTTAAATGCAGAAAAACAAGACATGACCAAATTCTATTTAACCTTCTGAGCCATAAAAACCTACTGATGGGTTTTGTAGGCATGTTAGCTTTTTGAAAAATCACAAAAATGCCCTGATTAATTAGAATCGGAAGCTTTAAAAAGAGAAAAATTTTAAATTTCCAACAGTTCTTGAGCTATTCATGCTAGACATACATTTCAGTCGGGAAAATTAACCGAATATAAGCTAGAGCTTGTCAAAATTATATTTATTCTTTGTCTCATAGAAAAAAAAATCCTCCAAAAATAAACTATTTGCTGTAACTGTATTCTGTAAAACTCACCTGTTACCACCAATCATGTCACAAAAAATTTCACTTTTCAGCTGAACTGCAGGCAGTGTTTCCACAACTATAGTATGTAGAGCCACATTTAAAAAAAAAAAAACAAACAAAAAAAAAAACAATATTAGTAACACCTGTGGGCACTTAAAAAAAATCTTGGACATGTTGATTCCACCCTTTTTTTGAATTTTTATAAAATAAATAACCACAAAACATGACTTTCACTTTTGTATTTTTTGAGATTTATCCGTTCTGTGTCGCAGAGCACAGGGGATATTTCTGAATTGGCTCTTTTTCTTCATGGTTGTTCTGTTTCCATAGAGGTGCAGGACTTTACATTGCACCCACAAAGTACTTGGGGGTTCAGAGGGTTCGTCATTATTTGTTTTTCAAAAATACAGGAAAAAGCTGTAGAATTAAAGACAAAAATTTAGTAAAATTACACATTATTTACAATTTGTCAGAGCCTCTTATGCACAAACACTTGCTGGTGTAGAATCCTGAGATTGGGATTTTATTTTTTTTTCTTTAAATGATATGCAGCATTGAAGATTGTTCTTTCTGTGGGATGTTGTGTGTTTTTTTTGCTGCACGACCCAGAACACAAAAGCAGCACGGTTGCTAAGCATGCAAACTTGTGTATGCTGGTAAACCGAATACTTATCTAAATTAAGATTTCTAAAACGGGATCTTAAAACCAATGGTCTTAAACTGTGTCATTGCATGAAAAAACATCCTGAAATTGCTTCACCTGTAAAACAGATGCTGTTCCGCATGTGTTTCGCAGGCTTGTGCCCCTCTGTGGTCGCAGGAATGCGGCACGTCCATGTTCAGCACCGGCATCTGCGCTTCAGTCAGCGATGACCTGGAACCGAGAGAGACCATTGCGCCGACTGCACAAAGTAACCCATGCACACACATTTAAAGGCAAAGGAACACGGCGCTGCAGCCAAAACGAACCTCTGTAACCTCCCGCATGTTGCAGGATGCTCCACGTACATGGACATCGTGATCGTGCTGGACGGGTCCAACAGTATCTACCCCTGGTACGAGGTGCAGAACTTCCTCAGCAACATCCTCAGCAAGTTCCACATCAGCTCAGACCAGATGCAGGTACAGAGTGTTTGCGCTGCGTATGAATATTGTTTACATTAGTAATGGAAACTTGTGGGTTTTAGTTTGTTTCTCATTTAAATCTCTGGAAGGCCTCACAGTGAGACAAGCTGGTCCCCTGAGTGAAAACATGCAGAGCGACGTATAAAGAGCCAGTTTGGCAAATATGAGCAGAATGAATCGCTGCATTAATGTAAAGGGACGTGAGGTTGAAGAGGAGTTAGAGGGGGATTTGTTGCACTCAGAGCTAACGTCACGGATGAAGTTGTTGGTTCCTACATGGCGATGGAAACAGAAAGGGTCGATCAAGGCGCCATTTCTATAAGCTTTCTCCAAATTTGTGCAGTGAAAAGCAGCCAAATGGTTTCAGGGAATGTTTTTGTCAGAAAAAAAAAGCACCACATAGGAGAAGGACGAAGCTAGCAGCTCATGGTGAACAAAGTGGAGAATTTTGCAGCTAAAAGGGCCAAATATTTCCCCCAGGAGTTGGTGGAGACCAAAATTGGAGCTTAAAGGAAACTGAACACACCTTTTCTAGTACAACTTTGTGAAACAAAAAATTGTCAATGGTTCATTTAAAGTTTAGTGAAAGAAATCCATCAATCCTCTGGATTTTGCAGTCGATTAAGGCGTCAACTTTCTCCAAATTCGTGCAGTGGAAAGCCGCCAAATGGTCTCAGGGAATGTTTTTGTCAAAAAAAAAAAGCACCACATAGGAGAAGGACGAAGCTAGCAGCTAATGGTGAACATAGTGGAGGATTTTGCAGCTAAAAGAACCAAATATTTACCCCAGGAGTTGGTGGAGACCAAAAATGGAGCTTAAAGGAAAATGAACACACCTTTTCTAGTACAACTTTGTGAAACAAAAAATTGTCAATGGTGCATTTTTAAAGTTCAGCCCCTAAGTGACGAAAATATCCATCAACCTGGATTTTGTCGTCAATTAAGGCACTGTTCCTGTAAACTTTCTCCAAATTCCTGCAGTGAAAAGCCCCCAAGTGGTCTCAGGGAGCTGTTTTCTGCCAAAAACAATCTTTATAAAAACCCTCCACACTACCTGCCCAGCACCACAAAGGAGAATGGCAAAGCTAGCAACTATATGATGGATTTAGCAGCTTAAACAGCTAAATATTTCATTCAGGAGGTGGAGGAGACCAAAATTATGACAAAAATATGTCAAAGCCAGCCGCTAAATGGTGAATGTAGTGGATTGTCTAGCTGCTTAAAGAGACAACTATTTCCCTCAGGAGCTGGTGGAGACCAAAATTGGGGCTAAAAGGAAAGTGAAGTGAAAATATGTAATTGTTGTGTTGATAGTTTTGTCGTGCAGTCCTCCAAGTGGTGAAAACATCTATTGACCCTCTGAACTCCAAACTGTTTCCAGGCGTTTTTATTTATTCTTTTGCTCAGTTTTCCTCACTGTCGGCTCATTTTTCACTGCAATATGGAGT